TTCCCATTGCTTTATTTTCAGTCGAACGCGAAGTGAAGTGTTTTTCAGACTCGCAAACAAGAAACAACATTCGATTAAGTAAGCGACAATTATATGTAAGGTAAAAGTGACTGGATACGTATCTGATTCTGGATATTGTTATTTTTTGTTATTTTCCTCTTAAGTGTAAATATTTAAACTTTTAACATATATATAGAGTTGATACATATATTGAATATATACGTATATTCTACGTTGAAAGTTTAAATATTCATATTTAAAGCAACAATAAGCATGTCCAGAGTTAAATACACTGAGAAAAAAATGTTTGCTACTTGTTATTATAATCGCATAGTAAAAGAATTATAATCAGAGGAACCATATTCTCACGTGGTATCACTATAAATTGCGCTAAGAGAAAATATTTAAGTAGCAAAAGATATTTATTCGATGAGTGTATACTAAACATATTTATTAATAATAAAATATTTTTTTAAATAAGAAAATATATATTTTCTTAACATTTCTTAGCTTTTCACAAAAGCAATTGTTTAATCTATTTAAATGAGAAAATATAGATTTATAAGTAAATATGTTATTATAGTACGCACATTTCTTCATTTCTTTAGATATCTTTTCTCTCAGTGTGCGTTGAAGCGACAAGAGCGTGCAGTTAGCGCTGAAGATAACAGTAATTCGTTGGTGAGGTCAACCATTTTCTCTTTCAGAGAGTGGTACGTGCTCAGACTTTTATCTTATTCCACTTCGGACATTGGCACTGGCTGTTTACACAGCCGATTCGGATTATCATGAAATAGCTGTTGGCCGGCTCGTACATCCGCACGAAGCTTTTCTGAAGTCGCGACGCGCCGTTTCTATTTCTGCCAAATCCGCAAGCGCGGATTAGATTAGCGGTAGTCCACGACTATCCGGCGGACGCGTTGCTCCGAATCTAATTTATCCCTTTACTTAATCAACGCGCGCGTCGGCTTTCACGCGCGAGTGCCGAAATTAGATATCGCGTGTGGAGCTTGTGGCGCGATTTTAGTAACTTCACTTCAGCATTATCCGTCGTGGAGACTGCGTTATCGCGCGCGCGCGTTTAGCGGTAAACGCGCGTTATAAATATGAGCCACCGTCGTTAACGTGTCCGCGCAAAGAAGGCACTTTATTCTCAAACGATACCGCGCGCCTCATGAATAATTAATGGTCGCCGATGATAGGTCATGTATCCTAATTTCTGCGCGTTGATGCGCACGGGCGAAATTTCGCCGTCGAAAAAATCGCACCTCATTCTGCGACGGTGTATTTGCCATGCATATTAATGACGGCTGATGGACAAACGGCGTCCAAATCGCCCGACGAGCTAATTTTCGCGCGTTAGGGCGAGCGTACGGAAGTTCACTTAAGTCGCTTATAAACGGCCTCGCAATAACTGTCAGTTGATTACCTCGATAAATTTACCACGTGAGTTATCCTCCGCAACGAGAATCCACCGAAGAAACGGATATCATTACCGAATGATATCCGATATTGGAAATGAAACTAAAATGGAAGTAGAAAAATACTGCATTCAAGTAAACGTGACTCGTCTCGAGCATTCTATAAATTTATTCATCCGTAAATCTATCACACACATGAGTTCACTATAAGCATCAAAGTTCTCCAAAATATATTCTGAATCTTGGTAAGTTTAGTACTTCAATGAAAAATATTAAAATAGAACAAAAATATATGTTTTGTTTATTAAGTCGAATCGACTTTTTCATTAATAAAGTTGGATAATATTCTTATAAAGGGAATAAAAATATTTTCTTCTTTCGAATACGTGATAATAAACTTTTCTCAAATTTGCGATGGACATGTTTGTTGGACTATTATTAAAAAAATATTATTGGTTGAAGATAACTTCATTTAAAAGAAGGAAAATGAGCGTTTCTTAGCGGTACAATGAAATTTTTTTTATGTGCGAACAACAAAGCCTTATCTCCGATAAATTTGGATTATTTATCTCGACAAACACTTAATTTGAAACAGCTTGATATCGTGGCGGCGGAAAGCCGCGCTCGATTCGCCCTAAAAATTTTTCAATCGCGAGCCTTATATCTCGTGAACGGCAGCTGATCGTTGAAGGGTTAAAGACACCGCGCGATTGAATAACCGCGCTCAATTCTCCGAAACGTTTCCGTAAACCAACACACATAATCTGACGCTTCGTTACGACCGTGGAGGCAATTGACACCTATCGTGCGATCAACGAAGGGACGTGTAGCTTCTTGGAGACGGTTGGTCGGGCCGTTCGTTCGTTCGTTCGTTCGTTCGTTCGTTCGTTCGTCGCCGGTGGATGAGCGAGAAGAACGCGCAAGGTCTCTCTATACAGGTTCAGGGATTCTTGAAAATTATTAACGCCACCGCGAGCGACTGGGTATGTCATTCTCTTCGTGGACGCGAAGCAGTGGTTCTCATCGCGTGCGCGCCGTCGGTCGCGGCTAATTCCCGGCTCTGGCCGGTCGGTAAATCGGCGATTTGCCATGAACGGTGACGTATTTGCAAGTATAATGAAAAGCGTCGGGTTAACGTTAAAGCGTCTCCTCGTGGTGGCGCGAGGAAAATAATAAGAAGATCGGCGAACAGGGGCGAGAGCGTGTGCGTGTCCGCGAGCGAGGGATGGAACAAGTCGAAGGACGGAGCGAGAGAGGTGGAATACGCGCGGGGAAAGAAAAAGAGTGTACCGGGAATAAATTAAACTAATTGAGCAAATTAGCCAGCTGTTCACGCAACTATGGCACACGGACACGCTCGCCACAGCCGGCTAAGGAGGTCCACCGCCGTCACGCAGAAGATATGTACACTCAGTCCCGCAGAGATGCCTCACTATTCACTAGATCGCTAAAATTTCTAATAACTATCGATCTATCGATATAAAATGCAAAGTGTCCACGATATTGGACCAATATCGGGTATATTGGAGCCCAGTTTGTAGCCAATATTGTCTAAATAAACTGTGCTACTAAGATGGTCGAACGAGACCGACAACGGAGATGAACAAAATCGCGAGCTCGATAAGCGATTTCTCTTTATCTCCACCTTATATCATCGCGTCGAATATCTCGCATTTATTTGTAATATTTTTACGTTAAATCGATGGATCGTGAAAAACAATATTTTGGCGGGGATTGGCGCCGAACAGGCGCCGCGTACGCATAGCTCCCACGAGATGTTTCAGCTGTCGTCGAGACATCGTTTGTTGATAGTTTAACACATGCGACGCGTACATGTTAGCATTTCCAGTCATGACTGTAATTATCTAATAAAGTTACGTTAATTCATACGGCACAGCCGCTCACGCCTTACAAGACGCGTCTTAATTGCGTTCCGCGCGATGTTTCCCGTTCCATTTTCTTTTTTTCCCTCTATTTTTCCCGATGCACACACGCGTATGGCTGCGATGACACGGGGAACTTCACCTTGGTCATCGAACGACGTCAATAATCGCACATAATAAAGAACATGCGGGAATTGAGCATTAATCTAACTTTGATTGATATTAAAATATTCAAATGAATTCGCGCCGCTTGATTACCGCTTTAATGTAAGAACGAGCACCGCATTGCCGCTTAACGACGGATGATATGCGCGCACCTCCAATGCTGATTGATCGAGGATGCCTGCACAACGGTTGATTTACGACACTATTCAACGCGATATTATTGCAAGTCGTAAGATCCGTACGATCTTCCGCGTTCATCACCGATCCGCAATACTTGTCGCCTGTATCGTAATTCATTTCGCGTAACCCGCCGTGCTGCCAAGTTCTCTCCTCTCATGAGTCGAGTAAACAATTAATATTGCTAATCGCGCTTAACTAGGCGTCTCACAGTTCTCGTCGCGACGCTCGTCGACTTCAGCGTTCGGCATTGGTAACAGCCGACTGCTCATTGGGCTCAGTCGTGTTCTCACGTCGTGAATACTTGTCCATTTGTGTATCCGCGATCTTTCAGCGCCGTAACGACTGTCGCAGCGCAATTTGCAGCCGACCTAATGGCCTTCGCATTATCTCGTGATCGTTTTCTAGTTTAATAACGAGCGTGCGCGCTTTGAAAGAAAAGTTGAGCGAATAATTAAAAGAAAAGCTTCCATGCCGCACGAAGGGTATCGCGTTTCGCCATATTTCCTCGGGTACGTAAATTACAGGTGGGAATTCGTGGCTACGTAGAGAAGAAGTGGGAGGAGGGGGAGGAGAGAGAGAAGGAGAGAACTTAAGTAATTCCTAAGTAATTCTTCGCGCGCGCGCGCGCGCGAGCGAGCGCTCACGGGCTTCGAAAACTATTATCTAAACGAAATGTCAGAGGATACGGGATAATAGTCGTTACGCAAGAGACGCGCGCGCGCGCGCGCGATCGCGCGTTATTTTCACCTTCGCGCCAAAGAAGACGGTTAACCACATTATCGTCTATTATTACCTCATTTTTCTAGCCGGCCAAGTTTGACGCGCGCAGCCGCTTATTATCAAAGTGATTTCCAAGTTACGCCACAACGTGCCAATACGCGTAATTAGAGGTAACTTGTAATCAATTTTAGCGTTCTCGACACGCTTGTATTATTTTTATTCAGGCAATGGCGGCGCGGCGGCGGCAGCGACGTTTTTATCCGTACGCTCGTTTAAATGCCACGCACTGCATAGTTTCAACATACCCCGGCAATTTTCAAGTTTGAACAAACCTGCAGTGTGCGTTCCATTAGCGTTCTGTTTCGTTTCCGCCTTTAATTATTCCCGAACTCCTTGCTCGGCTTATTAGATTTCCGTATGCCGCGTTTAAGCAAGAGAGAGAGAAAGAGAGAGAAAGAGAGGGAAAGAGAGCAACACTACAAATATAAATTGGAAACAAATATGCTGGGATCTGATTAGGGCTCGATCATACGTTTGGGAATAGGCATCGGTGAATAGTGTCCCGTTTGTAAGGTGAATTTATCGATGCCGTCGGCTTGCGCGGAGCCGTGGTAAAAGAGTTTCTACTGACCTGTATCCGTGCCTCCGTCAGGCCGATCTTCATGGCGAGCTCCTCCCTAAAAACAAAAAGGAAGGCAATCGTTAGCGCAAGAAAAAAGGAAGCAAGGCCGCGCGTAGCCGCGGGCCTATTTGCGTATGCGAGTTGCCCGATTCTACTATTGCGATAAACTCCAGTTAACGGAGTTGTACGCATCGTGCGAGCGTTAGTTCCGCTTGAGGCTCGGATTACATTGAGAGAAAAAATGTCTGAAAATTTCCGAATATTTTTTTTTTTTTCGAAAAAAATTATACATATTTTCTTACTTGAAAAACACTTTATATTGATATAAGTTAATATTTTAGTTTTGTTAAAATTAATACTTTATAGTAATATAAATTATCAGTGACTATTACAGTAACCATTTTTAAACAAACATTTTTTACTTTTCAAATGTTTCTAAGATATAAAATGTGTATTTTCTTATGTGAAAAATATTTTATGTTAGTAGAAATAAATATGTTATTAGTACCTGCCGTATATACTATAAATATCTTTTATCATGAATATTTTTCCTCTCAGCGTATGGGAAAAGTTCTCAACAGGACGCTGGACGACACAGTCATTAATAGCTGTAACTTTTTAATCATTCTCCAGTATATATTCGATTAATCTTTCAGTGATTCTTTTAGCTATTAATTTTATCATTAGAAAATTGTCGTGCTACGTCTCGTTTAATCGATAGCCTCAATTATTTCACTTTCGCGTGGCGTGTTTTGCAATTCCGCGATCGCTTCGTTTGATTGTTGATTAATTTTACTGACTACTTTATCGTCTCAATTATTTCTCGATGACAACGTCTGCAGAGCTGGCGTATCGCTCTGTTGCATATGCACACAAGATGGCTACGTATAGGTTCCGCAGTATTAATGAATGTCATTTCCTTCCCCCATCCTGCCCCCTCTTTACGCAATCAAACGCATATCTAAACGTTTGGACATCCAGTGGGGCAAGTACGTGTAATTACGACTATGATTATTATTTCTCTTTGTGAACACGCGATTTATTACTGAGGAACGCGATATAATTTAGCGAAAAAAAGGAGAGAAAGAAAGAAAGAAAGAAAGAGAGAAAAAAACGTTTAGTTGTCTTTTAATAGCGTCGACGGAATAGCGGTGTTACGGTCTGACCTCGTATCGCATCCGTGAGAAAATCGCAGAAACCGTTCCGCGAAATCGCTGGTCTCTCTCTCTCTCTCTCTCTCTCTTTCTCTCCTATCCCTCCCTCCCTCTGTCTGGTAAAAACGCGCGCGTTCATTACCTTAATTAGTTTTGCATCCGAAGCAGATTAGTCGGCGTAACGACGCACGATGGGGATTAATTGCATTATGCATCTCGCGGCATTATGTGTGATTTTCCGTTCGATTGCTACCTGCACGAGCCGTCGTGACGAGAGCTATTAATATCTATTACGAAGACGAAGACCAGAATCGGCGCGCGCGCACACCGGCACGACGCGGATAGAATCTCGTTTGATATCTGTGTGACTATGGAGAGCTGCGACTATACCTTGCCGTTCCGTCCGGCGTATTACGAATACGATCCGTAATCCGTGACTAATTGACCGGGCCCGCGCTCGCGCGGTAATGGCAAATAATTATAAGCTCGTGATATTTTACATAACGTCGATCTTGTCATACGCGATACCGGTCGTTTCCTTTACGCTCGATCGAGTTTCGCATCCTTCGCTCGCGGGCGCATACAACACGAAGTCCGTCGTGCCACGTGACACTTTTCCGCGAGTGCACGCACGCACTCACGCATACACACACACACACACACGCGCGCACACACACGCGTGCACGCGTTCATGCCCAACATGCGCACGCGCACCAGCATGGTCCAGATGTCTGGGACCGCGGACGCTGCAGGCTGCCGATTAAGAAACATCGAGGACGTTTCAATGTGCCGAGGAATTAATTTATAAGTACGGCGCAACCTGTAATCCGAAGCCACGATCATTCGAAGCTACTTATCGCGGGCGTGTAGGTATGTATTAAGGATTAAGAAGTGTCACATTCCGCCACACTCTCTGCCTGGACGCGAGCACCGACGGCAGACGTTGCGCCTTTACTCGTGGAGAAAAACAAGGACGCGAGGAGAGAAGGAAGAAACGCGAGGGAGCTGGTGATAGACGTCGATTTTTTCAGGTGTCGATTACACACAGGCTGCGCCGTGACGATTCTCAGCGAAAGACAGGAAATTGACAGTCATTGACTTGGCGATGACTTTAGGATGACTCGACTTCTTTTGGCCGGCCGGCGGTTATGCCGATCGGTGCGCGGGGATGTTTCCAATGACGATAATAACCTGTATAAATCGCCGTTGCCTCGCATGATTTCACCGGAAATTATGCGAACGCATCGCCAATTTCTTTCCACGGGAATGAGGCGAGATTCGCTGGATTCGCGAACGAATCATTACGCAGCAGAAACGGCGAGGCGAGGAGATGAATCACGACGAATCACACCGAGGAAAAAATGATTGGTACTTGTGACTGTAATCACACTGAGGAAGTAATTGTCATAAATTATGGTCAAGAGAACCATTTTTTCACTTAAATTCTGCTATAATGTAAATGACAATAATGTTATACACGTGTTGCTGCCACAAGGAGAAAACTATTATGGTTACCATATCTATATATTCTATGATTTAATTTTAAATTAAATTAGTGAAAAAAACTGGAAAAATTTCTATAATTTCAAGTGAAATGGCATTAGAAGTTGCTGTTATTTATTTTATTTATTTTGTATATGCACGGGCGGAAACTAACATTAATATTTTTGGCGATGTTTATGGCAACCATATTTAAACAGATAATATCGTTAGTGTTTTCTCCATGTACTATTTTACTATAAAAATATAGCTGGGGCCAAAAATAACTACTCAATGCGCAACACTTGTTTAACATTCCTTATGCGTGTAGGAAACTCACCGCCCGGAAATATTCGCGATTTTCTCGGTTGTTGGGCGATAAAGGAAGCAACGGGGCCGCGTACGATCGTACGATCGCCGGGTATCCCGATGGTAGGCCGATGTAAAGGGAGAAAGAAAAGAAGAAGAAAGGAAAAAAGGAAAGGCCGATTCGGCCAGTGAGACACCCCGCGGGGCTCCTCATCTCGCAGGCAAATTGCCCAGATGTTCCACGAAATCGCGAGGAAATCTCGGTGATTACGCCGCGCACAGAAGCTCCGCGTCTGATCGGGCCGGATTTCGTGTTTAGGCGCATTTCGGTCTTCAGACGGTGGCCCAGCCGAAATTACAGGGGTCTCTCGGGGTGAGTCCGAAATTCGGCCGCGGTCCGCGGATTCGTCCGGCTCGCGTCGCATCGATTTCATCATCGTTCGCTCGCCCTTCTCTCCTGTCCGCACCGCGCCGTCGGTCGATGCTGCCGAGGGTGTCAAAGCCAAACGAAGGCCATGAATGAGAAGCACTACCCTGAATCAAATTTGCCTCATATATCTCGACCGGTAACTCAAAAACTACATCTCGTTTCACAACTACTAAAAAATTGTAGATATGAGGAATCATTTAAACGAGAAAATAATATTTGTGATCGATGAAAACGAAATATAATATATTTTGGACATATTAATCGATCAAAATTTCTTTTGATTAAAATATTTGGCAAATTAATAATCAAAATAGATTAATTGTCATATGTAAAATCACAAAATAATTTCATCGATTGTGGCAACTATTTGTTAATTAAAAATTTTAGTGTGATTTATTATATACATCGATTAAATTATTCGCGGTTGTCGCGATTAGTCAATTTTGATTAATTTCTTGGGGTTATTTCGGTGAAATAAATTTTTCATCAATTAATGTGCTCAATATTGCTTCGTGTCTCTTTATAATTTAAGATTTATCAGAATTATACGTAATACAAGTTAATATATATTTAAGTTAATTGAATGTTTAAAGAGATAATTCCTCCTTGTTCTCTTTCTCCTTTGATAATGTAATTCTTCAAAATTTTCGTTATTATACTCAATTCAAAAATAAGATCAAATGGGACTTTGCCCGGCGGACGCGACCATCAACGGGAATAATCGAACAATGTTTAGCCGCTAATTAATCGCCCAAAAAGATTTTCATCGTACACCGGCATATCGGCCGGTAATTGCATGCGGTATTCACGTCGTCAAATCATTTTGACGGCCCGCACTCCTCCGGCTTATTGGAGGAAACGTAACTAGAAGACGCGCGTTCGTATATAGCCGCGGTACTCTCTGATTACCCGTTGTCGTGCGCTAATGACTACTCTGGCGAACATAGTTGCAGACGGTAATTCGTACCTGCTACCAGGCGGCTCGGCTTCGTTTTCAATGAAACGCCGCGTATGAAAGCGCGCACCTATCAGCTGCTTCTCACGAAAAACAGGCTTGCTTACGCCGCGAACGGTAATATCGCGCGCGCTCGCACACGCGGACGTGATTCTCTCTACTGACTACTCGCAGGTACGAACGGGCCGTTATTTGGGCGAGATCGGTAGTCGAAATGTCAGTCAAAATAGACGCGTACCGAATATATCGCGTGTATTTTGGCTACGGGTTTTGTGTACACCGATCTGATTGAATCGCGCGCAGCTGCTATATCAACAACGTCGTTGAAATTTAAAACGCTCTATTCAGGAGAAAAAACTAAAAATAGTTTTTTCTTATATATACAGAAAGTCTTTCAATATTTATATACAGAAAAGAAAATATATATAAAAAAAATTAATGTGTCAAAAGTTATAAGTGAAAAACAAAGATAAAAGAATATGAAATAATGACATTTCAACATATTAAACGGGAATATCAGCAATATTATTAAATATTTGATCAAAACTCATATTCTTGACGTATACACTGAAAAAAATACTTGAAAATTCACAGAAATAAACTTTATATCCCGTGAATAAATTTTCAAGTATTTTTTCTCAGTGTGCGTCCGGAATAAGACTCCAATGCTGGGATTCTGTAACTCGTTATTGGAGTTAACGACAGTTTCGTTATCGTTGCGCAGCTTT